CCCCCCCCCCCCCTCTCTCTCTCTCTCTCTCTCTCTCTCTCTCTCTCTCTCTCTCTCTTATCTCTCTCTCTCTCTCTTATCTCTCTCTCATCTCTCTCTTATCTTTCTCTCTCTCTTATCTCTCTCTTATCTCTCTCTCTCTCTCTCTCTCTCTCTCTCTTCCTCTGTGTCAGTCTCTCTTCTCTCTGTCAGTGTCTGTTTCTGTCTGTCTGTCTGTCTGTCTCTGTCAGTGTCTGTTTCTGTCTGTCTCTCTCTCTGTGTCAGTGTCTGTTTCTGTCTGTCTCTCTCTCTCTGTCAGTGTCTGTTTCTGTCTGTCTGTCTCTGTCAGTCTCTTTCTATCTCTCTCTCTCTCTCCCCCTCCTCTCTCTCCCTCTCCTCTCTCTCTTCCTCTTTTTCTCTCTCTGTCAGTCTCTGTTTCTCTCTGTCTGTCTCTCTCTCTGTTAGTCTCCTCTGTTTCTCTCTCCTCTCTCTCTTCCTCTTTCTCTCTCTCACTCTTCCTCTCTCTTTCTCTCTCTGTCAGTCTCCGTTTCTGTCTGTCTCTCTCTCTCTCTCTCTGTCAGTCTCTGTCTCTCTCTCTCTCTCTCTCTCTCTCTCTGTGTGTGTGTGTTTCTGTCTGTCTGTCTCTCACTCGCTCTCATTACTTTCGGGGTTGGATGAGAGCTGCTAGTTCCTGGTTCTCTTGGCTTCACTGGCTCTGACTTTCCCTTTGCTGTGTGACCCCAGTTCCAGGTCACAGAGTTTGAGTCACAGTATCTCCCTCCCCCCTGCTCAGCCCCAAGAGGGGCCCACACATCTGGGGAAGAGACCCTGCCCTCTTTTTACTCAAGCCTTGACTCCTGAGGGAGACCTTCAGTTCCTGCCCTGCCTCAGTTGGGGGAGGGTGGCTTCACATTCCAGATCTCCAAGGCCAGGACAGGGACTTTGGCTGGATTCACAGCTCCACCCTCAATGTCCCTCTGCCTGTGAACATGGGGCCCCATCCTGCCTTCCCAGCTGCAGAGCCTTTCCCAGTCCTAGGCCCGGTGGACAGTTTTCCTCTTTCCCACACTTGGTCTCCTTCCTGCTAAGGGCCCAATCGTGCTCCCTAAGGGGGCTGAAGGCCTGCCTGAGAGCAGTGTCTGAAAAGGAGGCTCATCCAGCCAGAGAAGGAAGGTCTAGGCATTTGGGGCCATGACAGGGTCTGGGTTAGAAGTGGTGAGTGGGGTCCAGGAAAGAAATGGATTTGAGAAGAGTGAGTACTCCTGACTGGAAGTGACCATCAATCATCTGCCAACCACTCCCCTCGATTCCTCTCCTCATTTCAAGTGTGTGTGTGTGTGTGTGTGTGTGTGTGTGTGTGTGTGTGTGTGTGTTGTTCATCAGACAGGAGTTCAATGTATCCCAGGCAGGCCTCAAACTTGCTGTGTAGTGTTGAAACCTCTGATCATCTTTGCTTCAACTGGGAAAGCTGGGATTGTGGGTGTGTGCCCCCACCTCTTTACACCCAGCATTGTGGGTGTGTGCCCCCCACCGCTTTACACCCAGGATTGTGGGTGTGTGCCCCCCACCGCTTTACACCCAGGATTGTGGGTGTGTGCCCCTACACCGTTTTACACCCAGACTTCCGATTCTTCATCTAAGAGACTTGGCTTGCTCTTCACTGTACAGTTTTAAGTGGACAGTGGATTTCACTGCTTTAAAAAAGCAGAGGCACTGAGGGAATTTAAGGGTTATTTACAAGCATGCGGAATTGACTACATAGGGATTAGGATAGAGTAATATTTATTTATTTTATATGTATGAGGTGTTTTGCCTGCGTGGGTGTATTGCCTGGTTTTGGGGAAGTTACTAATTGGATTCCCTGGAATTAGAATTACAGACTGTGGGCATTCATGTGGGTATTGGGAACCAAACCCGGATCCTACACAAGAGTAGCAAGGTCCCTTAACCACAGTGCCTTCTCTCCAGCCCCTTGCTGAAGGTTTTGAACCCAGCTGAGCCTGCTGTTCTTATAAGCCCCATGAGGTAGAGGAAGAAAAGTTACTCAGAACCCTTGAAGGATGAGTAGTCCCAAAGGGCAGGGAAATGGCTGGCCCTGACCCCTCAACTCTGCGCCCAGTTTCCTGCGGAGTTTGGAAGACTGTTATGGGTCAGGACCCGCAGGGGCCCCCGGGGGTAAGAAGCCAGCCCTTGGTGGTGTAGGGGAGCAGGCACCAAGGGGCGGAGAGCTGCCGGGCCCTCCCTGAACAAAGACTGGGTGGGCGGCGGCTTGAGTCTCCGCACCCCGCCTCCCGCAGCGCCCGCCGAGCACCGACCCACAGCGAGGCGGGAGGAGAGAGCATGGCGGGGGTCGGGGCTGTACTGCTACCTCTGCTCCTGCAGCTCGGGAGTATGGTGCCGGCCGCATGCGGTGAGTCGGAGCGTCCAGGGTGTGCCCCCACTTCTGGCTCGGCCCGGCAATCCGTCAGACAGGGCTAGACCGTTTCTCTAGCCCCGCCTGAGCAACTTGTCCCCGGCCGGCCTCTGTGCTCTCTCCGTACTCCCCGTCGGTGGGCGAGCAGAGTGGAGGAGGGGCGGCCAGGCAGGGGTCCCTGCCAAGGAGTCCTGAGCAACAATGAAGCAGAGGCTGTCCTGGTATCTGGGTGTCTGAAGTTAATTATTTCTATTGAGAGAAGTGGAGGGGGGAGGGGGAATGCTCTCTGTGGGAACTGACTTTGTCCTGTCAGACTGTAGCCTTTGGGGCTTGCACGAATGGATGGTCTCTGCAGGAACAGGGTAGGAGGAGGCTGAGGGGGAACCCGAATTCAGTTTCTGGGGTGCAGCCAGGCTCGTGCCACTTCCAGGAGGATTTTCTTCAGATCTTCCAGGAAAGTGACTGGCCCTGCTTTCAGCTGGGGATTCCAGTGGACCAGAGGACAACCCCCACCCAGGTCTCTGCTTCCTTGACCCCCCTCTGCTTAAGTTGAACGGGAGGAGCAGGCTGGAGTGCTGGGTCTGTGGGGGTAGCGGAGCTGGAGGAGGTCATGTTTGGGTGGAGGGATTCAGATACCGAGACCCCCCATCCACGAACACCCTTGACGTGGTTATGGAACAGCTGGGAAACCGGGGAACTGGTGGGGACTAAGAGGGGTACAGAAGGGTGGTGCCGAGTCCCAGACTTAGGTAGCTGAGTGCATTGGGGTGGCACTAACTGAGCCGTGGGTAGATATTGGACTGGAATGCCCCCTCCCCGGGGGGTGGTCAATAAAGAAGGAGGTGATACCCCTTTGCCTCACAGGTCTAGTGTCCCTGGGAAAAAGGCTTTCATTACTCCAGCTGGTCCTGATTGAGTTGCCGCTGTAGGAAAGAAAGGCCAGCCGCCTTCAGCATCCTATGTCACCTCTTCTGGGGAGCCTCCACTCGCCTTCCATTCTCTGAATGTCTGTGGGAAGCAGCCTTTGCCTTTACCATCCCGGCTTGGGAGGGGGGGGGGGATGAGCTGTGGGGAACGTGGCTGTGCCCCACTCCAGGCCTAGGCTCAGAGGCACATTCCTCCTTCCTAGACATAATGTTATCTGGAACCAGGAACAGGCTGTCTTCACTGTGCTGTGTCTACTGGGGGCCTTGCTAGAACAGCAGAGCTAGGTTCTGCTTTCCAGAGCCCCCCTCATCCAATATGGGGCCTCCTGTGCTTCTGGCACACACTTGTAAACAGTGGCGTGAGGAGCACCTTTTCCCAAAGCAGTTCCTTTACTGACAGGTATAGATGAGTGGGGGCATGCGTGAGCACGTGCGTGCACACACACATGCATGCATGCACACGTGCACGTGTGCACTTGCACATCTGCACACACGTGCGCACACATGTGTGCACATACACACACATACCAGACCCCCCAATATTTAAAGAGCCCTTCTTGCACATGTCTGACACCCTCCCTTGCAATTCAGCCTGTGTTGGACCCTTGATCAAACATAACATGTCAGGTCTCCAAGCTATCTCTGGCCCACAGTGGATGGATGATCCGTGCCTAAGGATCCCGGCAGAGTCAGAGCAGGCTTCAGGGAGGCCTTGGTCTGGATGCTGCTCTCTGTCCCTTCTGGAGACTGAACTAGGCTACTGTCTCCGCGCGTTTCTGTTGTCGTGGTCTTCCCTGCCTGCTTCCACTCCAGCACCTTCACAGAACGTGTCTCCTCCCACGGATGTGGGACGCGGTGGGGCGCATGCGTGCTCTAGAAGACAGAACCCAGGAGACCTTCCCAACCGCTGCCCACAGGCCAAGCTGGCTTCTTGCGCCCTTTAGGTGGGGAGGTCTCCAGAGAGCGCCCGAGGCTCGCGGACATTCTGGACTATCAGCAGCAGGCACCCTCCCACTCTTTGGTCCCTGCTGGGGCCCACCAACAGCAATGGTGCCCCCTGGAGGAGAGGCTGGAGCGGCTGGAAGCCGAGGTGACTGACCTCAGGAAGCAGGTACTGTGGAGGCAGGCTGGCAGGGATGGGGTAGGATGCACTTTGCGTTTTGGGGAAAGAGAAAGGATTGAGTTTAGAGGCCCCAAGGACGCGAAAACAGTAGGTTTTGTTTGTTTCATTTTGTTTGAGACAGGGTCTCTCTACATAGCCCCAGCTGTCCTGGAACTCATTAGGTAGCCCAGGCTGACCTTGAACTCACAGAGATCCACCTGCCTCTGCCTCCTGAGTGTGGGGTTAAAGGCTTGCACCATCATGACCAGCCTTTGTTGTTATTTTTTAAGATCTATTTTTATTTTACATGTATGGGTGTTTATACTCATGTTTATCTGTGCAGCATGCGTGTGCCTATTGCTCGTCAAGGCCAGAAGAGGGAGTTGGGTCTCTTGGAACTGGAATTACATGGGCGCTGGGAACCAAACCCAGGTCCTCTGCATGAGCAGCCAGCGTTGTAACCACTGAGACATTCTCTTGCCATTATTTTGCCCGTTTGGTTATTGTTTTGACAGTGCTTGAGACTGAACCCAGGTCCTCACATGGTCTAGGCAAGGGCTGTACCACTAAGGTATATATCCCCAGCCCTTAGAATTCTGTCGTAAGTGCACAGAGAGAGGTTCTTATCTGACTGGTCCTAATGCCTCTTCTTTTGGAATGGGGAGCCTCCAGGGTATGTGTTTTTGATTCAGGTTTACATATTCCCTCATGTGTTTGTCAGAGAATGGGATACTGTGAAGGCATAAGACACCACTAGAGACGGCTGTGATGGGTAGTGAGGTCTGTAAAAGCCAGGCAAACTGATATGTGTCTGCAATCCCAGCACCTGAGAGACTGAGGCATGAGTGTACGACCAGACTAGGCTTCATAACATGTAACCACCAGCCAGGGTTTGTCCCCTCTCCAAATTACTCTTTAATTATTAGTACAGGGAAGAAACCCAGAGTTCCTCTATCCAAGCCATAGCTTTACATTCCCTGAAACATACTGGTGGACGGGCACCCACCTCCGCTCAGGAACCCTCATTCTGCCTCAGTTTCTCCATTTTGCAATCCTTAAGGAATTGTCTATGATGGGAGCTGAGCTGAGCCTGTCCCTCCACTCTGTTTCCCCAGAACAGGGACCTGCAAGCCAGGGTGCTGCGGCTGGAGTCTCGTGACTGCTGCTCCACTGCCCCCCAGTGCTGCGGGCTGCAGCGCACCTGTCCTGAAGGGGCTCGCTGGGAGCCTGATGCCTGCACTACCTGTGTGTGCCGTGACGGGACCGCACACTGTGGCCCCCAGCCCAGCCTGCCCCACTGCCGCGGTCAGTATCACCCCGTCCACCCCACTGCAGCTCTTTGGGGGCCTGGAGAAGGCACTAGGGTCCTAAATGACATTACTGTCTCCACCTCAGGCTGCAGCCACAATGGCCAGTCTTATGGTCATGGGGAGACCTTCTCCCCAGACGCCTGCACCACCTGCCACTGTCTGGTGAGTGCTTGAGACCCACCTAGAAATCCCAGACCTGTCCCTGTGTCCTGTCTGCCTCTCTCTAGCCACCTGTCACTGACATGCTGTGCTGGTTGTGTTCTGGCTCCTGTCTGCCTCTCCTGCCGGGACTCTCATCCTTGGGATTCCCATTGGTTCTACTTTCTGGAGCTCAATCTCCACATGCTTGTCGGGTCCCCAGAGGTGCCTGGTGGAATTGCACTAGAAAGAGGAAGGCTTTAGAGCGCTCTGCTTTCAGGTACTGATGTTGGGAGAGACGCATGGTGGGAGACAGTCTAGGAAGGCCAGAAGAGACAGGATACTGCCCGTTCAGTGGTTTGGATTTCCTTCTGTGGTGGTGGGATTCCTCTGGAGTCCACAGAGCCAAAGAGTGTTAGGACTATCCCCCTGGTATGGAAGGGGTGCGGAGACCAGCTGGAAGGCTGCTCCACAGGGCCAGAGAGGGCAGTGGGCTGCAGGCAGGGGCTATTCCTACAGAACTGGCAGGGGCCAGTGACTGGTTAGATCCCACGGAATAAGAGAGGTCAGACGGGAAACTAGAAAGGCGGTGATGGCAGAGGCTTGAGAAGAGCTGGGAGGACGGAGGCAGTGACTCTGTGGGATTTTTATTGTTTTGAGACAGAGTCTCACATGTAGCCATGGCTGGTCTGGAACTCGCTGTGTAGAGCAGGCTGATCACAAAGTGACAGGGGTCCTCCTGCCTCTGCCTCCCAAGTTCCTTGTTTATTCTTTCATTAGTCTTTGCAAAATTGGAATTTCAAAAAACACATGATTTAAATATATAGAGTATACCCCATAGAGTATTTGGGACATACTCTCTGTTCTTGTTTTTTGTTGTTGTTGTTGTTGTTTTTTAAACTGTTTAATGTTGCTGATGCTGGCCTTGAGATCCTGATCCTTATGTCTCCTCCTCCCAAATTCTAAATGTACCCCTACCATACTTGGCTTTAGCCTGAAACTTACTGGGTAGCCCAAACTGGGCTCAACTCAGAGCAATCTTTCTGACTCAGCCTGAGTGCCGGGATTACAAGTATGAGCCACCACATTAGGTGTGTGTGTGTGTGTGTGTGTGTGTGTGTGTGTGTGTGTGACTGGTAATTAAACCAAGAGCATTCTACATGTGAGGCAAGCAGTCCCCCACTAATCTATATTCACAAACCTCCTTTGCCATGGTCTTTGCTCGCTCTCTTGCTTCTTTTGAGTTCATAGTCTTGCTGAGTTGCTAAGGCTGGCCTTGGATTCATTCTACAGCCCAGGCAAGTCTTGAACTCTTGATCCTTCTGCCTCGGCCTCCAGAGTAGCTGGAATGACAGACCTGCATCACCAGGCCAGGCTGTCCAGTGTCACTTCTCTGGAATTCCATTGTAACTGAGCGCCCTGTTCTTTGTCTAGTATCCTACCAGGAGAGGCATCCCAGTTGGTGAGCAGTTAGGGGGGACAAGGACTCCAGCCAACCCTAGGATAGAGACCAAGGCTGAAGTCCTGGGAGTGGGTGGACTTTAAAGGGACTCTGGTGGCAGCTTGGTGGCAGAGTATTTGATGAGCATAAACGAGACACTGCTTTAGAGCCCCAGCAGTCTTCTCCTCATGCCCCAAACTGTATAATTCAAAGCCATGGACACACACAGAGACCTTTCAGGGTACATGGTGTCTCGGGACCTCTGCTACTCCATATGACAAGAGCCTTTGATGGTCGTGTCCCGTGTGGCACAGGCTTGGAGGAGGGGGCAATGGGCTCACCTTTCAGGACATCCTCCTCCACCCATTATAAATAAAGCCAGTACACTGTCAGAGTCAGACCCTTGACTGCCGCTTGCTGGAAGATGGAGGAAATATAAAAATAGGGGGGTCCATCTTTTGATGTTGCCCCAAGCATCTGGGTCTCCTACTTGGGGATCCGTGCCCAGTTCTGAAGGCTGCTCTGGGGGCCACAGAGCTGTTGAAATGTGACATCCAGAGACCTGGTCCTCTCCACTGGCCAGGTAAGAGAATTAGAGTATAACCCCCACCAATGTTTATGTCCCCCCGCCCCGCTGTTCTGCATTACCCGAGGCCTGGCCTTGCCTCTGAGCATCTCGGTTGGAGCCTGCTAGGCCTCTGAGGCCTGCAGGGTACCCCAGCATGGATGGTGGAAAGAGTTCGGGGGAAGACTTGATGTCTGCTCTGCAGGCAGGAGCTGTACAATGCCAAGGTCCCTCATGCTCTGAGCTCAACTGCCTGGAGACCCTCACCCCACCTGGAGAATGCTGCCCCGTCTGCCGTCCAGGTGACTCCCTGTTCTTACCCACGGATCCCCTCGGCCTCCGTGGATCCACACCTGCTTGGGGCCATGCCTTCTCTTGGGTGCTGCCCACCTACCTTGCTCTCTAGTGACCCTTGCCATCCTGGCCACCAACCTTCCAGGCTGTGAGTATGAAGGACAGCGTCACGAGGAAGGGGCCAGCTTCTTGTCCAGTTCCAACCCCTGCCTCCAGTGCTCTTGCCTGGTGAGTCACTGCAGCCCCTGCCCAGGCCTGCTTGCTTGGGCCATCTCTGTCCCACCCTGCCGTGTCTGTCACTGTTAGCCTTGTCCATGCCGTCGGAACCTGGTGCCATTCCTGCTAAACACCGCCCCACCTTGAACCTGCAGAAAGTCACACCCAGGGGTTTTACAGACATTGTCCATTGTAGAGGAGCCTGGTTCGTTGTGTGCCTGTGAAGTGCCAGCCAAACCCCTGCCCTGAGCCAGTCCTGAGGCCTGGACACTGCTGCCCAGTCTGCCAAGGTGAGAGCCCATGACCCTTTCATTTATTCATGTATTTATTTAACGTGTATGGGTGCACGTACATCTGTGCGCCATGTGTATGCAGTGCCTGTGGAGAGTGTGGGGGATCGAACTCAGGTCCTCTGGAAGAGAAATCAGTGCCCTCAAAACGCCGAGCCATCTTTCCAGTTTCCATGACTCTTCCTTTATAGAGTCCCCAGCAGGATGTCTCACTGTTTCTCGACTCCAGAACCCTTCCTTCTAGACCGATGTTTGATCAGTGGGCAAGCAATGTCAGGCCCATCATACTCTGGATCGTTAATACCCGAGTTCACATTTTTCCCTTGTCTCTTAGTGATTCCGCGACTCTCAGCTGCTGTTTCTCCATTTGTTTTCCATTTGTAAGGTGCACGTGATGTACCTTCTGATATTGGATAATAAGTGACTATTGTCTGCTTAGTCCATCTGACCACGGAAGGGAGGGCATTCCAGGGGAGTTTTCACTAACTGAGGGTATGCTGTGCTGTCTAGGGAAGGCATGGACGAGCAAGCTGAGGAGCAATGAGGACTTCACCCTGTCTGGGGCACTGAGAGTCCCTGTGAGTCTAGACCAGTGGTTCTCAACATGTGGGTTGTGACCCCATTGGCAAGCCTCTATCTCCAAAAATATTTATATTATGATTCGTAACAGTAGCAAAATTACAGTTAACAAGTAGAAATGAAAATAATTTTGTGGTTGGGGTTATCACAACACAAGGATTGTATTGAAGGGCCGCAGCATTAGGAAGGTTGAAAACCACTGGTCTAGACAGAGGTGGGAGCATGAGAGGAGCGGGAAGAGGAAGGCAAGATGGGGCCCAGGAAGATTCCCATTATTGCCATTCTCCATCCCCAGCCCCGGGCTGCACAGAAGGTAACTCTCACAGGGACCATGGCCAAGAGTGGACCACTCCTGGAGACCCCTGCCGCATCTGCCGGTGCCTGGTGAGTCCTGAGGCGCCCTTGGCTTGTCCCTCACCCTGCCCTGCCATCAGGCCGGCTGGATTCTTGATTTCATTCCACCGGCCACATCCGGGGGCACTGAAAAGAGGCAGAGATAGAGACGATTGTATTGTGGGCCCTGTGAGCATGTGACCTGGTGGGCTTGCCTGCTCTGTTTAGCAGGCTGGTAATTTTAGTTCAAGGAGTTCATAGGTGGGAGGAGAGCCAATAGGGCAGGACACACTGGGTGGTCAGAGCACCAGAGAGAAAGGGGAATACAGTTGGACTAGGCAGTAGCCAATCCTGTGACATCAAAACTCTTAACATGTGCCGGGCCAGAATGGCTTTGGGCGAGATGTGGTGGCAGATGCCTTTCATCTCAGCTCTTAGGAGGCAGAGACAGGAAATTTATGAATTTGAAGCGAGCCGGGCCTATGTAGTAAGACCCTGTCTGGAAGTGGTTTCACCTGCCTGTGATCCCAATTCTCAGGAGGCTGAAGCAGGAAGATCATGAATATATGGACAGCACAGGTTACATAGTGAGACCTTGTCTCAACTATCCTTCCTCAAAACAAACACACACACACAAAACAAACAAAAAACCCACAAAAAAAACAAGAGAGGGACAGTAGGATTAAAAGGAATGTGAAATATCTCGAATACTCTGTGTTGCTCATATGTTGTAATGGGTAAGTAGAGTACAATATGAAATTTTAATTTTCTCTGTTTCCTTTTGAGTTCCAAAAGTTGACCTTGAAAAAAGTTTGCATGGGTTCTGTGGCTTGAGTTATCTTGTTCTTCGGAAGCTTGGATCTAGGACTTCATGGGTGAGGGTGCTCTTCACCTAGGCCTTGGGCAGCAGGTGAGGAGGGAGCTGTAGGGAAAGACACCCTAGGAATCGGCAAAGGGCGCAGTTGAAAGTACAGGCGTCCTGAAGTAGAGGCCCGCCCACACTTTTCATTTTAACCTACAGGCCTCTGAGCAGCGGACTATTGTCATCTATTTTTTTTTTTTTCAGAAAGACAGACTGAGTCACAGGTAGTAGCTAAGTGACATGCTAGGTTATACGTCTGTACTAGCTTCCTAGGGCCTCAGTAACTGAGGGCTACACACTAAGTCACTTCAAACGACAGAAATATACTCCATGCTTCTGGAGACCTGAGGTCCAAGACCAAGGTGTGGCAGGTTTGATTGCTTCGATGGCTATGAAAGGGAATTTGTGCCTTTCCTGGCTTCTCGTCATTGTTGCCATTCTTTGGCTCTTATAGCATCCAAATATTTTTTCTTAAGACTTTAGATTTATTTTTCACTTGTCAAAAAAATTTTTTTTGAAAGTCTCACTAGATTGACCAGACTGGCCTTGAACTCACAGAGATCCACCTGCCTCTCAGGTGCTGGAGTTAAAGGCATGCACACTACAGCTGGCCTCGTTTTTCTTTTTTAACTGTGCGAATACACACATGTCTGAGTGTGGGTTTGTGTGTGTGAGTGCAGCCCCCATGAAGTCTGTCGGCAACAGACCCTTTGAGCGGCCCTCCCAGGTGGCCGGGGCTGCCTGCTTCCTCTGCAATAGTAGTGAGCACTCTAACTGCTGAGCCAGCTGCAGCATCCAGATCTGGCTTCATCTGGGCATTCTCCCTCTGTGTCTGAGTTCCTCTTTATATACAGATGCTAAGTCATAGTGGGTTGGGGGATAACCTACTCTAGTAATACCTCATTAATCGACTACATCTTCTCTAACTCTGTTTCCCAAAGAGACCAACCATATTCTGAGGCATCAATGTACGAATCTGGGGGGAGGGTGCATTTCATCCCATAGGGACTTCTAATGAGTGGATAGCTAGGCTTCTAATGCCATTTCTGTTTCTTGGCTGAACCCTGTGACGGGGATCTCTCCTTTACCTACCCTTGCTAGGAGGGCCAGATTCAGTGCCGCCAGCGGGAGTGTGCCAGCCTGTGTCCGTACCCCGCCAGGCCCCTTCCGGGCACTTGCTGCCCAGTGTGTGATGGTGAGTCGGGAGTGGAGCAGAGACCCTAGAGAGGCCAGCAGTGCCGGTGGCTGGCCCGGCATGAGTTACCTGGACTGGGGGGATTGGGGCGGTGAGTTTGCCCTGAAGAGCATCTGAGCACAGTTTGCCTACAGGCTGTTTCCTAAATGGGCGGGAGCACAGCAGTGGGGAGCCCGTGGGCTCCCAGGACCCCTGCTCCAGTTGCCGCTGTGCTGTGAGTATGTCTGCCTGGCAGGGAGGGCCTGGCTTCAGGGCCTGTTCCCTGCTGACTGGGCCCTGTTGGCAGAATGGGAGTGTCCAGTGTGAGCCTCTACCCTGCCCGCCTGCACCCTGCAGATATCCGGGCAGGATTCCTGGGCAGTGCTGCCCTGTGTGTGATGGTGAGTGCCAGGGGCAGGCACCGACTAGGGACAGGCTCGGGATGATGGTGAGCTTTGCCTTCCTTGCACCTACGCTCCTACCCCCTCTCACCTCACTCTCACGGCACACACTGTGGTGTGTGTGGTGGAGGCAGGCAGGGCCTCCTGGAGGACTTGCCTAGGTGATCTTCCTCAAGGTGGGATGATATGCCTTGAGATGGCATGACGCCTCCTGCTCAGCCACTAGTCCTGTCCCCCAGACCCCTGTCCTCCTGTCCAGGCTGTCAATACCAGGGACATGACTATCAGAGCGAGGACACCTTCACCCTGCAAGAGAATGGCCGCTGCCTTCGTTGCTCCTGCCAGGTGAGTGTGCCTACCTTTCGCCCAGGGCCCAGTTCTGTGTCCCTCCTTAAGGGCCGCTCACTCGACCCTCTTCCTAGGCTGGTGAAGTATCCTGTGAGGAACAGGACTGCCCGGTCGCCCCCTGTACTCGGTCTGCCTCTGGCCCCCAGCTCTGCTCAGGTGTGTCTGTGTATGTTCTGGGGAGAACTCTACCCCAGTAAGGAGGCTATGGTGGGTTTGCAAACCAGGGTCCCCCTGGGCTGGGAAGGACAAGGATGGATGAAGCTATTTAGGTTGCCATGGTGACAGGCCCCCTTCCCTTGCTGTAGCCTGTGTGCTCAATGGTGAGGAGTTCGCTGAGGGGATCCAGTGGGAACCAGATGGACAGCCTTGTACCACCTGTTCCTGCCAAGATGGGTTGCCTGTGTGCAGGGCTGTGCTTTGCTCCCCAATACCCTGCCAACATCCTACCCAGCCACCCGGTGAGTGTCCCGCCAGATCTCATCTCTTTCCTCTTTGGCTTTGACCAGCCCACCCTGACCAGCCTGCCCCACTTAGGTGCCTGCTGCCCCAGCTGTGAGAGCTGTACCTACCATGGCCTCGTGTATGCCAATGGGCAGAACTTCACAGATGTGGACAACCCCTGTCATGCCTGCCACTGTGAGGTACATTCCTGGGCTTAAAGCTGCCCTGCAAAGCCTCTCCTGGGCCCTCTCCCATTGTCCCTTCCCTGCTCCCAGGACGGGACTGTGAGGTGCTCATTGGTCAACTGTCCTTCCACGACTTGTGCCAAGCCTCAAAATGGACCGGGCCAGTGCTGTCCCAAGTGTCCAGGTATGTGTTTATTGTGTCTGACTGGCCTGGGGATCCGGACTCCATTGTCACACAGCTGGATGGGACCAACAGATATCTTCCAAAGAAAGGACTTTCAGAACTGTTTTTGGAACTCACAAGGGCAAGGGTGGAAGGAGAATAAAGACTTGCTACCTTTTTGTGTTACCAGACCACCCTTCACTGTGATCCTACACATGCTCTCAGATGCAGTCACCTACGCACCCATGTAGCACAGGTTCCTGCAGTGCGGGTGTGTGCATGGGGCATGATCCCTGTGTGCATGGATATGTGTCCTAGGCACACACTTGTGTAAGCTCTACTCAGCACCCCCGAGACACACACCCATCTCCATCTGCAAGTAAAGGGACTCAAACTTTTCACTCCAGTGAGAGAGATATACATTGCTACCCGTAGCCCCCATCCTCCTCTCCCTGATTGGTGGCTCTGGGTTCTGGGAGCACTGGAGAGGCTGCAGGTGGCACCTAGCCCTGTCAACCTCTGCCTCTACCGAAACACCTTTCTCCACTGTCTGCCACCCAGACTGCGTCTTGGAGACACAGGTGTTTGTGGATGGAGAGCGCTTCCCTCATCCAAGAGACCCCTGCCAAGAGTGCCATTGTCAGGAAGGCCAAGCTCGCTGCCAGCCTCGCGCCTGCCCCAGCGCCCCCTGTGGTCACCCTCTGCCCAGCACCTGCTGCAGGACAGACTGCAAAGGTTGGGGTATGGGTGCCCATGGCATGGAGAACTCCCCAACAGGTACTTAAGCCCTGTAGACAACGGCCCATAGCTGCCCCCTCTTTAGGCTGTGCCTTTGGTGGGAAAGAGTACCCCAATGGAGCGGACTTCCCTCACCCCACTGACCCGTGTCGCCTGTGTCACTGCCTGGTGAGTGTGTGACCCGGAGTCAAAGGGAGTATGTGTAAGGGTTGGGGACCACTTCGCACTAATCCGACTTGACTTCATCTTTCTGTTTATCCTCAGAGCGGCAACGTACAGTGCCTGGCGCGTCGCTGTCCGCCGCTGTCCTGTCCTGAGCCAGTCCTGCCTCCGGGAGAGTGCTGCCCGCAGTGCCGCGGTAGGTAGGCAACGCTCCCAAGGCAGCCCCTCCCCGCGGTTCCTCCTGCCCCCTCGTGCCACGTGACACACTCTCTCGCAGATGTCCCGGGTGGCTGCCCACGGTCAGGGGATGCGGTTCCCGCCCGCAACCAGGAGCACTTCTTCCCACCGGGAGACCCCTGCAGCCGCTGCCTCTGCCTGGATGGCTCGGTGTCCTGCCAGCGACTGCCCTGCCCGCCAGCACCCTGCGCCCACCCGCGCCGGGGCCCCTGCTGTTCCTCCTGCGATGGTACCTCCTCTGTGGTACCCTTCGAGATCCGGGTGGCACCCCCATCCCGTTTTGCCATCGGCTATCCGTCTCCCAGCCTTGGTGTCCCTGCTCTTAGAATATGCCTTCCCAGAGGTCCTCCTTCCTCGGGCGGGCGGTCTCTCCTACCTGGGGACTTTAATAAGAATGTTAAGGACTAAGGCCCAATACCAGGGTCTGGCCACCAGCCACCACGTTCCCCCAGTCCGTGCTTTTCCCTCTTAGGCTGCCTGTACCAGGGGAAGGTGTTCGCCAGTGGAGAGCGCTTCCCGTCTCCTAGCATCGCGTGCCACGTGTGCCTCTGCTGGGAGGGCAGCGTCAACTGCGAGCCCCGGGCTTGTGCCCCTGCACAATGTCCCTTCCCCGCCAGGGAAGACTGCTGCCCTACCTGTGATGGTGAGCTGGGGATTGGGAGAAACAGGACACACCCTGCTGGGACTCTAAGGCGGTGCTGATGAGAGAGCCAAGCCAGCCTCCTCTTCACTGCCCCAAAGTAGATCAAAATAGTAAAAACAATTTCTACTGTAAGAAAAAAAGAAAGGGCGGTGGTGACGCTCGACTTTAGTTCCAGCACCCGAAGGCAGAGCAGGCGGATCTCTGAGTTCAAGGTCTACATGGAGACTTTCAGGACAGCCACAGCTACACAGAGAAACCTTATTTCGAGAAAAACAAACAAACAACAAAATCCTATGCTAATGCCTGCATTTTTTTCCCCTGAGCTTGAAACAATCTAAGAGCATGAATTTGGGCAAATTACCAAATCCCATCGTGCCTAAGCTTTAACTCCTGCCAGAGACGTTCTCCCTCCTTGTCACGCTTGTATTGTCTTAGCACTCTTTAGTCTTCGAGACAGGGTCTCACGTATCCCATGGTGGCCACCAGTTTGCTGTATAGCAGAGGATGACCTTTGCCCTGCTCCTCCTTCGTCCGCCTCCCAAATGTTGGGATTACAGCAACCCAATCTATTTTAACATCTTCTACCAAATGTAATTTTATTTATTTGTTTAGTCCTTTTCTTTTTTTTTAAATCGTTATTTATTACATATTCAGTGTTCTGCTTGCATGTATGCCTGCAGGCCAGAAGAGGGCACCAGATCTCATAGATGGTTGTGAGCCACCATGTGGTTGCTGGGAATTGAACTCAGGACCTCTGGAAGAGCAGACAGTGCTCTTAACCTCTGAGCCATCTCTCCAGCCCCAGTCCTTTTCTTCAAATGAACATACTGGTTAAGTTTATGTAGCTGGAGGTCAGAGGACAGCTAAGTGTTGAGAGTCATTTCTCTTTTTTTTTTGTTTGTTTGTTTATTTGTTTGTTTTTCGAGACAGGGTTTCTCTGTGGCTTTGGAGCCTGTCCTGGAACTAGCTCTGTAGACCAGGCTGGTCTCGAACTCACACAGATCCACCTGCCTCTGCCTCCCGATTGCTGGGATTAAAGGCGTGTGTCACCATCGCCCGGCTGAGAGTCATTTCTCTTTCCACCAGTTCCCAGGGACTGAACTCATGTCACCAGGCACGCTGGCAAGAGCCATCTCACCAACCCCCTAGATGGATTAAATGAGAAAATTAGGCTTGTCGTGAACAGATTACCATGAAAATGAATACAATTAAATTACAGTACTGTTGCCGCACGGTGCTGGTGCACACCGCTAATCCCACCAGCACTTGGGAGGCGGAGGCAGGTGGATCTCAGTGAGTTCGAAGCCAGTCTGATCTACAAAGTGAGTTCCAGGACAGCCAGGACTGTTACACAGAGAAACCCTGTCTCGAACCCCTACCCCCACAAAAGCACAATACTGTTAAATTCTGCCCGTGCCTGTAATCCTAGGACTAAAATGATCTAGACAGCAAGATCAGGAGTTCAAGGCCAACCTTAGCAATGTGCTGTTTCAAAAAACATCTATCTATCTATCTATCTATCTATCTATCTATCTATCCATCCATCCATCCATCTATGTGTTTATCTATCATCTATCTCTACCTATCATCCATCTATCTATCTATCTATCTATCTATCTATCTATCTATCTATCTATCTATCATCTATCCATCCATACATAATAGCATATATATGTGTATACTCTGTCCCCATTGAGCTGGGGTTATAGGTGTGTGGGCAGCCCTGTTTGGCTTGGGTACTTGGGTACTGCAAACCTATCCTTAGCCACTGAGCCACCTCTCTTGCCTCCCCTCTATGTGTAGCTGAGGTTGCCCTTGAGCATCTGCTTGGCAGATGCTGGGATTATAGGCATGTGCTGTTATACCCCGTTCACTTTGTTAGGTTTTTCTTGTTGGTTGCTTGTTTGTTAGGTTTATTTAGTTTGTGTGTATGAGTGTTTTGGCTGCATGTATGCCTGTGTGCCATGTGTGTGCCTAATGGCCTCAGAAATCAGAAGAGGGCGTCAGACCCCCTGGAACTAGAGTTACAGATGATCATAAACCACGTGGGTGCTGGGAATTGAACCCCAGTCCCCTGCAAGAACAAGTGGTCTTAACTTCTGAGTCACCCCCACTACCTTCCTTTTTAAGGAATGCAAGCAAAATGTCATAGAGGAGTGCAGGTCTCCCTCCTTAGTCAACCTGCGTTGATGTAGCATTGGAATGGGGCTAACTTGATCTACACCACTGCATCCCCAACTGTAGTCTAGGAGAACTGGAGCCTTCTAGCAGTGGCCTGCTGAGCATCTAACCCTGTCGCAGAGCCTAGTGTATTTTCTCTTATAGATGGATACTAGTATTTCTTGCAGGGTGCAGGGGAGAAAACCTGCCCTTTGGCCAGTCCAAACCCCACCCTGTCTGTCGAGGCTCCTTTACTAGATCCTGGACCCAGCCTCACCCCAACGCCCCCAGGTGCCAGGTCTTTGAGATTCTGGCCTCCTGCCCGGTCAAGCTCAGGGAATGACTGCTTTCCTCTCCCTTCTCTGCCTTCCTATTCGGTTCCCATCTCTGATAGGCTGCGAATATCTGGGGGTATCCTATCTGAGCAGCCAGGAGTTCCCGGACCCCCGGGAACCCTGCAACCTGTGCACCTGCCTTGGAGGCTTTGTGACTTGCACCCGCCGGCCCTGTGAGCCTCCAGCCTGCAGCCACCCACTCACTGTACCTGAGCACTGCTGTCCAACCTGCCAGGGTATGAGCCACCCGCCTCACCCCCTTACTCCTGCTGGGGTTCCCTGGGGCTAAGCACCAGTGGGCGGGAGGTTTGCGTACAGTTGAACCCCCTGCGATAGACACACAGAGATTCTCTTACTCCCAGAATCCCCATAAGCATGCATGATCTGCCCTCGTCTCTGTTCCCACTGTCGCCTCACCAATGGTCCTTTGTGTTCTAAACTTTCCTTCTCTTAAATTGTTTTGCTGCCTTCTTAAAATGTCACCCTCTCGAAAACGGTCCAGTGGTTCCCATTGCCCCAAGTCACCAACCAGGATGGGCAGCTTTTCTAGCCCACCTCCTCTGACCCAACCCAGCTAGTTACCTATCCAGCCTGCCTGTGCCACCCTGTCCTCTCCCAAGGAGGCAGGGCATTCTTCTAGGCCTTTCATCCCCATTTCACATCCACTGTCCCCCCAGCCTCTTCATGCATGCAAATCTCTGTGCAGAATCTGATAGTCCTGATAATAGCTTCTCCTGCACCCATCCCCTCCCCTGCCCCTCTCTGCCTTACTATCTCTAGCTAAGCTCGTGTGTGTGTGTGTGTCTGTGTGTGAGTGCGAGTGTGTGCACGTGTGCACGTGACAGCGGAGGGCTCTGTTGACAGTGGCCCACCTGTCCCATTCCCCACTCTGCCAGGATGCCTGTACCATGGGATCACTGCTGCCCTTGGAGAGACCCTTCCTGATCCTCTTGACCCCACCTGCTCCCTCTGCACCTGCCAGGTGAAGGGACTCTTTGGGGTCTTGGCATCTTCTCATTCCCTTATCTTCCTTCTTGGCCTGGGATGGGTTGTCTGCATCTAAGCAGCAATAAACATCCTGTGACATCCGATGAGACAAAAGTGGGGTCAGGTCTCACCTGCCAGGGAAGAGGGGCTCAGACTTGATAAGCTCAGCAGGGTACCTGCCAAGATTGTAGTGCCGTCTGATTGGAAGATGACGTGGAAGTCCAAGTAACACTATGATCTCTCATCCAGGAAGGCTCTATGCACTGCCAGAAGAAACCGTGTCCTCCGGCTCTCTGCACACAGCCTTCTCCAGGCCCCTGCTTCTGCCCTGTTTGTCGCAGTGAGCATAGTTTGCCACCATCTTTCTGTGTGCCTGGCAGCTGTGCCCTCCTCCTCCCCTCTCCTTCTGCCAGGTAGACCCACTCCCCACAGAATGTGTGTCTCCCATAGGCTGCCTCTCTCAGGGCCAGGAGTACCAAGATGGGGAGGAGTTTGAGGGACCGGAGGGCAGCTGCGAGCGCTGCCGCTGTTGGGTACGTAGAAGCAAGGCTGAGCCAAAGCGGCCCATGCCTCTGGGCCCAAGCCTGCATGGCACGCCCCTGATCCTGCATGGCACGCCCCTGACCCTGCATCTCCTGCCCGCAGGCCGGCCAGGTCAGCTGTACGAGGCTTCGGTGCCCGCCTCTGCCTTGCTTGCTTCAGGTCACAGAGCCAGGGAGCTGTTGTCCTCAGTGCGCAGGTATACCCGACCTTGTACCCACACTTCAGCCCCTGATCCTATAACCTTCCCTTCACCCCCACCGTGCCTCTGTTCTTGACTGTCCCTCTAATCCATATTTAGCCTTTCCTCTCCTGGACCAACACACCCTTAGTGTCAGGCTAGATTCCTGCCTATTTCAGTAGTAATAATAATCATGGTTAATAACATTTATTAGAACATTTATTACAGGTAAACGACTCTCTCTCTCACACACACACACACACCTCACTTTAAAAGCACAGCTCTCTTATCTGGATATGCTGTCCTCATTCCTACTTTTTATTACTTTTGTTCATTTATTTTGTTTGGGGAGCCCATCCCAGCCTGCACATGGAGATCAGAGGACAGCTCATGGGGGTGTTTTCCCCCCATTTTACCACATGGGTCCCAGGGACCCTGCTCAGGTTGCCCAGCTTGGTGGCAAGTGGATTTGTTGGCTAAACCGTCTCCCTGGTCCCCTTCCTCGCATGTTTTGAGGATGAAAAACAGAGACACAAAAAGGTGACCTAAGTTTCCTGGCCACTCAGCTTGCAGGTCACAAGGTCAAGCTGCACATTCTGGCCTCTGGCTCCGGAATCCCAGCCTTTCTCAGCCAGTCTGCTGCCTCTCACCTCACCCTGTGTAGCCAACCCAGAACCCCCTCAGCATCCCTTGCCTTGTAAACAAGACAGGACAGACATAATCCCCACTGGATACATTCATCCCGTGTTCATACCAGTGTTGCCCCATGGGCTTTCATTGATAACTCCTGCTGCCTGAAACTTGATCAAACACACAAATGACTCCCTGCACCACCGCAGACGTGCGCTCTGTCCTGACCCATATCCATGCCACAGCCCCATCCTGGTGCCCCCATGTCTTGCTGACCACAGGTGGGATGGGAGGGGCTACAGATAGCCAGATCTTGGACTCGAAGCTTACACCTACCTGCCTGGGACCCAGGCTGCCTCGCTCATGGGGAGGAGCATCCTGAAGGTAGTAGCTGGGTGCCTGCCAACAGCCCCTGCTCCATCTGCATGTGTCACAAGGGCGTCGTCACCTGTGCCCTAGTCCAGTGTGCCAGTGCCTGCATCCAGCCCCAGCAGGAGGCCGGCGACTGCTGCCCTCGGTGTTCTGGTACTTGGAACCTGGTGTGGGAGGGAGCCCTGGGTAGGTGGTGAGCACCTCCCTGCTTTTAGTGTTGGACTGGGTGGCAGAGGTGGGTGTGAGGGGGCTCCAGGAGCAGTGGCCTTCGTTCTTGTACACTCCTCAGCCCCGGGGTGAGGGACAAGAGCCGGAGCGTGGAGGAGCTCCCCTCTTGACATCACTGTCAGCCTGAAGGTTCTCCTCTGTTCTTGTCCCCAAGGCTGTGAGCATGAGGGTCAGAAGTACGAGCCTGGGGAGAGCTTCCAGCCAGCGACAGACCCCTGTGAAGTGTGCATCTGTGAGGTAGGAAAGGGCAGGGTTTGGGACTGGCTAATTGATGGAGCAGGACCATGGCGATCAGACATTGTGTGTCCTTGGGTCCAGGGCAGAAGCTGAGCTTGGTCAGTGGGACCAGGTCTGGATTTAGGCAGAGCACAGGGTCCGAGTGGGGAAGCTGTCTATGGACCTGGTCTTTGAGGTGGTGGTGTTCAGCAAGCAGCCCTCATGGGAAGTGTTTACTCTACGTTAGCAGTAGCGGTGAGGGCTGCGATGTAGTTCAGTTGGTAAAGTGCTGGCCTGGTGTGCATAGATCCCTGGGTTCAGTCCTAAGTACCACATACATAGGGCGTGGGGTTATATGTTGGTAATCCTGGCACTGGGGAGGTAGAGGCAGGAGGGTCCCAGGAATTCAAAGCCGGGGTTGGCTACATATCAAGCTTGAGGCCAGCCTGGGCTACATGAGACCCTATTGCCAGAAACAAAAGTGATGAACGGTTTATGGGTACGAAGACAGGCAGTGGAGTGGGGAGGGTGATGAAGAATGCCGAAGGATTAGAGGTCACGTGATGATTCAGGCCCCAAGGGGCATCATCTCCAGATTAAGAGCAAGGCGACATGCCCACACTACATGAAGGGTGCAGCAGGCACCCTTGAGAATCCTGGTGCCCAGGGGCAGCTCAGCTGCCACGGCTTTGGACTCATCTCTCCCCGTTCATTCTTCTTGTAGCTGCAGCCTGGGAGACCTCCCAGCCTTCACTGTCGCCGGCGGCAATGCCCCGTTCTGGTGGGCTGCCCACCAAGCCAGCGTCTACCCCCTGGGCCCCGGCACTGTTGCCCCACCTGCGCCCGTGAGTCCTAGGCGAAAGGGCCGATAAACTGGGCGGGCAGGGCTGCGCCCCTGGAGAAATGCTAGAAGAGCCAGCTAGCTCTCCCCCGCTTTGCTTCAGCCCTCTCTCCACTCAAGTGTACTGTTTGGCCTAAATGGGTGGAGCGAATTCCACTCCTAAGTGGAAGCTGCCGGGGACTACTGGCCTCTGCGGCCAGGTGCGCTTTGTAGAACATCCTGCCCAGCAGGGGGCGCTGTAGGGTAGCAGTTGTCGGCTGGCTCTTTGGGAGCCACAAAGCAAAGACCATAGGGACATTGAATGGCTCAGCAGCAGGAATAGGGAGAGCCGGTCTGTTTCTTTTCTTCAAATAAGAATTTAAAAAGGTATGTGGAAGTAAAGAGTCATATTTTCATTATAAATATTGAAAAATAGCACAGTTGTTTCCTAGATTTAAGACTAAGACTTGGCATGTACTCAGCCTCCCCATCAGCGGGCGTGGAAGCCATCAGCGACACGATGGTTCAGCTTGGCTATGCACGCTCACATCTTCCTACACACAGACAGGATTCCCCGGACGGGAGGATTGCTTGCCCCTCTGTCCTCGAGACATACAGCTCCTTGGTAACACAGAGTTCACCATCCTCATCATCTTTAAGCTACAGCTCGGGGCTATTCAGTAGGTGCATAACGTTGTGAGAACATCCGTTGGGATATTTTTATAGCACTCGCTAGCACGAACTGCAACGGGTGAGAGGAAGACTCATTTATTAAGCGCCTAATGCATACCACACACCACTCGGTGCTTCTCATAAACCGTATCTCATCTAATTTTCACAGTGATCCGGTCAGGAAAAGTGTGTAAAACACACACACACAAAAAAAAAAAAAAAAAAAAACTGAGACTCAGGAGTAGATTAATTTGTTCTCATGGGGTGATGGAGCCAGAACCTGGGATCCCTCACTAACTCCCCCTCTGGCCAGATTACATTAAGGGACCGAACAAGAAGAATGGGCCAGGCCACCTGGCCGTGCTCCATGCTCAGTAACCCCAGGCTGAGGGAGCCATGCTGTGTGGGTTTCCGGTCCCACTCCATTTAGAAGCAGATTTCTCCCTAGGGGTTGAAGGTGCTTCAGCAGCACGTGTACTAAAATCGGCTTGGTAAAGGACAGATACCCCATTGCTGTGGGGATTATCATCGCCCCTGTTGCAAGGATGCCACTTTCTCTGTCTCATTGAGCTCACCTACAAAAACAAACAAACAGAAAAAAACCCAGGAGGTCCAACTGTTCTTTGTGTGGAGAGAACTGAACGGCAGTTCTGTCCCCTGACCCCTTCACCCCACACTGGATTCTTGCCTTCACAGAGGCGTTGAGTAACTGCACAGAGGACCTGCGGGGGACTGAGCTGATGCCACCAGACCCCTGCTATACCTGCCAGTGTCAGGTGAGTCCTCCTGCTGTGGGGACTCCCAGATCCCCCTTTCTCCTGCTCTGTGTGCTGTGGTTCTCCTCTTCCCCGTAGCTACCCCTGAGCTCTTGCTCACTCTGACAGTTGTCCTGAATGTCACCTCCTGCCTTACACCCTCCTCCCAGCTCTGCCCCCACGACTCCACGAGACCTGCTGTGTTCTCTCTATCATATTTACATGACCACAATAGGATCCGACATGGCTCTGTACTCGCCGGACCTGCCCTGAGCTCAGCTGTCACCCGTGGGAGCGCCACACACCCGCTGACGGCTGCTGCCCCGTGTGTAAGGGTGAGTGGCCAGAGAGGAGCCTGGGGATGGACGAGGCATTCGTGGGTGCCCTGAGGTCTGCAGGTGGAATGCAGCTTCCGTTCTTTTGTGGGAATGGGGAAGGTACCCACTGGGGTGGAGGGGAGCTCCAGGAGGCAGAAGAAATAGGGAACGAAGCCTGCGTTCTCAAGCCTGAGGGTTTTTCAGGGGCCTCGTGGTCCCCAGGCCCACTGTGGGCATTGCGTTTTGCAGTTGGGGGTTTGGCCCAGTAGGGGGTTCCAGGGACTGGCATTTTGGATCTCCAGGACTCCATAACCAATCAGCCTGATTCCCGCCAGGCTGACCAGGCTTGCCGAGGAAATGAACACCCTCAGGGTGCTTGCGAATGGGGCTGAGTTCCAAGAAGGGAGAGTATTGCTGAAAGGACACGCATTCCTCCTCCTTAGAATGGGGGGGGGGGCTCTCGGCAAGAGTGTGGGGGATGGAGGGTTGGCAGATTCCCAGCAACGCTTGCATTACCTGCACCTGTCATGGGATCTGGGGACAGGTGGGTGTGCCAAGGGAAGAGGGTCCAACATCCGCCAGCAAATATGGGCCGTGTGTGTGGTGGCCTCATTGTTCTGGACAAGGCATTGAGACCTGGGCTTCATTCCCGCCTGCACTGTTGGGGGCAGACAGGAGGGACAGATGGAACACGACCCTCCTCAGAAGCCCCTCCCCCGGAAATCGCAGGCTTGCTTCCTGCAGGAAACCCCTCAACAATAGTGCCTCAAGGAGTGCTAAGACTGCCCTGTCCTCATGACTGGCTGGAGGTGGCTAGGGTTGGCACCTAGGGTGAGCAGCGCCAAGGTGAGGGCTGTGATGGCGGAGGAAGGGCGACACAGATGATCCTGTCCGTCTGCCCCACAGGAGCGTACAACAGGGCAGATGGGAAGGAGATCCTCCGCCACCCAGTCTAAGAAGGAGAAATGTGTGTCCTTCCACCGGCACGGGAGGGTTTGAGTAGGCCACTGACCCTCTTTGTCTCATTTTCCCTCAGCCTCTACCCAGTCTTGCACGCATCAGGGCCGCCAGGTAGCCTCTGGGGAACACTGGGCCGTGGATGCCTGCACCAGCTGCTCCTGCTTGGCTGGCACTGTGCGCTGCCAGAGCCAACGCTGCAGTAAGCTCGCATGTGGCTCGGTGAGTGTTTTGGTCCAAGGTGGTAGGAGCGGGGTGCACAGGGCACTGCCATCCCAGAGCCGTGAGGGGGCCTTGGCCTTGTCTTGCCTTCATGAGCTATTAGTGGCGCCAAGGATGGTGCTGTTCCGGGAGTGACCACCAGAGGGTGGCCTGACCCGCTCTCAGTGAATCTGGGTTCAAGGGGTCAGAGAGAAGCTGGGTGGATGCTCAGACTACTATGAGAGACAGCTGAGACTTGACAAGGGAGTGTCCTGTGACTGACCATGTTTGGGTCTGAGGCCAGGATGAGGCTCCTGCCCTGAGCCCCGGCAGCTGCTGTCCCCGCTGTTTGCCCCGACCGGCTTCCTGCATGGCCTTTGGGGACCCCCATTACCGCACCTTCGATGGCCGCCTGCTGCACTTCCAGGGCAGCTGCAGTTACGTGCTGGCCAAGGACTGCCACGGCGACGACTTCAGGTGTGCACCCTTCTCCCTACTCCCTGCCGCCTAAACCTGGCGCCTCTGACCTCTGGCACCCAGGCCCTTCCTCCCCATAGTGTCCACGTGACTAATGATGACCGTGGCCGGAGGGGTGTGGCCTGGACCCAAGAGGTGACGGTGCTGTTGGGAACCGTGGCTGTGAGGCTGCTGCAGGGCAGGACGGTCGTGGTGAGCCAAGGACCGGGGAAGGTCAGTCCTGCACAGTTCACCTGTCTGGCCCAGCACGGCCCCTCCCTTCTCCCTCTCTTTCCCAGGTGGACCAGCACACGGTGACCTTGCCCTTCCTTCAGGAGCCCCTGCTGTACATTGAACTTCGTGGTCACACTGTGATCCTGCATGCCCAACCTGGACTTCAGGTGTGGTTGGAGGGTAACGCTGGGTGGGCCCGGGGTCCCATGCTTCCTACATCCTACAAAGACAGGTGGAAGGAGGAGGCGGAAGGGAGAGCGCACAGCTACATCCTCAAAAGGTTCTGTCCTGAGCCTGTTTTCAGTCTTGGCTCAGCCCTCCATATCCTGAGACTCTGAGCCATCATCAGCCTTCTCTGGGCCTCAGTTTGCCTGTCTGTAAAGTGGGGAGTTGATAGGGTTAGGGAAGCAGCCAAGAAGGTGTACAAGGTGGTCTCTGTGGGCTCTCCCAACTCCCATGGGGGAAGGTGGCTTGCTCTCTTGCTTCCAGCCAGAGTCCTAACTGACAAACCCATGCTTATGTGCCCTTGATCCAAACTCTAATTACATTGTATCATCCTTAAGGCCACAAGACAGTGAATCTCAGGAAATGGGTTTTGTTCCACCGGAAACCCAGTTGAACGGTACCCAGGAATAGTGGGCAGGCCTCTCCACCATCAGTGTTTGGCCAGGATTAGGGAAGTGGCCCTTCAATGTGCAATGTGCACCTGTTCATCCCCCAGCAGGGGAACTGTCAGACTAGCACATGAGCTCCTTGGGGTCTCTCTCCTTCCGCATCCCTAGTCCCGGGCCTCTTGCACAGGTACTGTGGGATGGGCAGTCCCAGGTGGAGGTGAGAGTTCCCAGTTCCTACCGGGGCCGGACTTGTGGTCTCTGCGGGAACCTCAATGGCTTTGCCCAGGATGATCTGCAGGGTCCAGATGGGAGGCTCCACACCACAGAGGCTGTGTTTGGGAACAGCTGGAAGGTGAGTGACTTGGGAGCAAGGAGTCGGGGCTCTAGAAGAACTGGGCACTGGCCCTTGTTGTGAAAAGGGACCCAAGACAGATGTGGGGGTTTTCATGGAAGTTGGAGGCTTGGAGCCTGTCTCGATTAATAGCAGAGGGAGGATGGCCTGTTGGAAGCCTTGTCTCCTGAATCCCTAAAGCCTGTTCTGTCTCTCAGTCACTCACAGGCTGCATGACCTTGAACAGGTCAAGGTCTACCTACTCAGGTCTTATTTTATCTCAAAAGAGAGTCAGTGCTTTCCTTTGTTGTTTTGATGTCTGACCTGTGATCCTCTTCTCCCAGCGTCCATTGTTCGGGAATCACAGACCTGAGCGATGGGCACTTTTGATTCCTTCTGTTCCTTCTGTTCCGTTTTGAGAAAGGGTCTCCTGTAACCTAGACTGTCCTTGAACTCTCTGTGTAGCCTTGACTAACCCTCCCGCCTCTGTCTCCAAAGTGCAGAACCATCCTGGTTTTTCCGGGGGGTGCAGAGTATCAAAGTGAAGGCTTTGTGGAGAGAAGCCCTCCCAACTGCACCCCATCCTAGCCCATCCTTTGCTATTCCCAAAGGGGGCGCTTTGATTCACTTGCTTTCTCTTTTTTGATACAAAGTCACACTATGTTGTCCAGGTTGTCCTGGACCTTTCTATCTGGCCCAGGATCCCCCCCCAGACTTCTAGAGTCACAGGTGTGCCCCGCTATGTTTGGCTCTTTAAAGGATGTGTTTTCATTAGCGTGTATTAATTACACATAATAATGTGTTTCAGTTTGACATTTTCATACATGTATTTACTGAATTTTGATTACCTTCCCCATCGCCCTCTCTTGGTCTCCCCTGTTCCCACTAATCCCCTTCCTCTTCCCAGCTAGCCCCCCCCCACTTCTACTTTCTTGTCTTTTTTATTTTTATTTTGGTTTTTCGAGACAGGTTTTCTCTGTGTAGCTTTGGAACCTGTCCTAGAACTCACTTTGTAGACCAGGCTGGCCTCGAACTCACAGAGAACCACATGCCTTTGCCTCCTGAGTGCTGGGATTAAAGGCGTGCACCACCACCCCCTGGCCTTCCTTTTGATTCCCCTCCCCCCCAATCCATTGAGTTCCATTTAAGGTTGGAGGTAAGACTTTGTTTGCAGGAGCGTGACACGTTCTACTCAAAGGGAGATTTTGCCAGGGATGTTTTCATATGATGGCTGCTCTCTCCATGTAGGTCCCTGAAGGCCTGGGTCCTAGCCGGCCCTGTTCTGCAGGCCGAGAGGTGGACCCATGTCGGGCAGTAGGTTACCGTGCCAGGCGTGAGGCCAATGCCCGGTGTGGGCTCCTGAAGACCTCACCGTTCAGTCACTGCCATGCTGTGGTACCCCCAGAACCCTTCTTTGCTGCCTGTGTGTATGACCTATGTGCTTGTGGACCCGGAGCCTCAGCTGACGCTTGTCTCTGTGATGCCCTGGAAGCCTATGCTAGCCACTGTCGCCAGGCTGGGGTGACTCCTGTCTGGAGGGGCCCTACACTCTGTGGTAAGGGGGTGATACCAGTTTGCGTGAAATGAAGGCCCAGTTCGGAAAGGAGGGGTAGCCCGATAGACTGGTCTGGGCAGGGAGGGTACAGGGAGACATAGCACAATGTCCTAACAGCCAGAGAGATGCTGGGGACCTCTGTGACACGGGCTTTCCTCTGTCTACAGTGGTGGGCTGCCCCACGGACCGTGGCTTTGTGTTTGATGAGTGTGGACCACCCTGCCCCCGCACCTGCTTCAACCAGCACATACCCCTAGGGGAACTGGCAGCCCACTGTGTGAGGCCCTGTGTTCCAGGCTGCCGGTGTCCTGCGGGCCTTCTGGAACATGAAGGCCACTGCATCCCACCTGAGGCCTGCCCACCAGTCCTGCTCACTGGCGACTAACCAGCTCACACGCTGCCCAGTCCTAGTCAGGAGCAGCCCCCTGTCCCACCCTGAGTTAAGGGTACCCTCAGCCAGGACTTACTGGTCAGACGTCACCCTTGGTAAGCAGCAACCTCCAGGCCACAGAGAGACAGACAGTGCCCTGCTCAGGCAATGGGATCCTGGGCCTGTTCTCCAGACATCTATAGTGCCAAAACACAAGAATAAACTCTACACTTGCCCATGACTTCCTTGTGTGTGTATTTCTTCGTGGTACTCGTGACTTCCTGGTGCTGTCTGGGAAAGGTTGACCCAAGTGCCTTGGTTCCTGCCCTATGTCATCTGTGTGGTAGGCATGACTGATTGTTTCTGTTTTGTTGTTGGTGGTGGTTTTGTTTTTTTGAGACAGGGTTTCTCTGTGTATCCCTGGCTGGCCTGGAACTCATTCTGGAGACCAGGCTGGCCTTGAAACTCAGAGATTTGTCTGCCTCTCCCTCCTGAGTGCTGGGATTAAAAGGCGTGTGCCACCACTGCCTGCGACTCTTTTGTGAGACCCTCTGTGGATCCGTGTGGGGCCTTGCTGGGGCTGCAGAGCCGCTGAGAAGAGGCACAAACCAAGTCTTGCTGTTCCTCTGGGTTTGGCAGTACTAGATGCTTCATCTTCTTGGTCACACTAAGAACTGGTGACGTGAGGCTCATCATCTAGGAAGAGAGACAATACAAGTACACACAGCTTCATGTGCATTATGAGTACCCTTAGAAACAGGTCACGTACGTGCACGTTATGTGTGTGTTCGCAGTCACAGCATCAGGTGGGCATGGAGTCAGCACAAACAGCTTGCCAAAACATCACTGTAGGGAGGGAACATGGGTTTTAAGATCGAAATAATCCAGAATTTGAGTCCTCTTTGCCACATATGCGCTGTGAAAGTGAGGGCTCAATGGCCCAGGAAAGGAAGCAGCCAGGATCTTTGTTGTTTTCTTAGGCAACAGAGTGCTAAGTTGAATTAGAGCCCACCCGCCTTCCCAGTGCAGCCTTTTGAAGAGAGAGGCCATTTCCATTTGGGGGCCAGAGAGAAAAGTTTGCCCTGGCAGGGATGGCAAGGCTGCAAGAAAGCCACGCTGCTCAGACAACACAGGCTGTCAAGATCTGTTTTTCATTACCGTAACGAAATGCCCAACTCGTTTAATTTATAAGTGAAAAGGTGATGGAGGAAGGTCATTGGCTAATAAAGAAACTGCCTTTGCCCATTTGATAGGCCAGCCTTTAGGTGGGTGGAGTAAACAGAACAGAATGCTGGGAGGAAGAGGAAGTGAGCTCAGACTTGATAGCTCTGCTCTCTGGGGCAGACGCGATGAAGCTCCAACCCAGGATGGACATAGGCTAGAATCTTCCTGGTAAGCGCACCTTGGGGTGCTACACACATTATTAGAAATGGGCTAGTCCAGGTGAGAGAGTTAGCTGAGAAGAGGCTAGATATAATGGGCCAAGCAGTGTTTAAAAGAATACAATTTGTGTGTTGTTATTTCGGGTAAAGCTAGCTGGTGGCTGGGAGCCGGGCGGCAAAAATGCAGCCTGCAGCTCCATCAACAAAAAGGCTTGTTTTGTCTCACAATTCTGGAGGCTCCCATCCAAGACTGACTTGCCCTGTTGCTTTGGGCCTCTGGTTAGGGGAGCAGGTGGCAACAACAGGGATTATTCATTGGAGCAAACTTCTTACATCATGAGCCAGGAAACAAAGAGAGACAAGACAGGGCAGGGGTCCCAAAATAGGCTTCAACTGCGAATGACCTAAGGATTTTCTACAATACTTCATCCCTTAAAAGACCACAGCATCACTGCACATATTGGCTTTGTGGGAGCCTAGGCAGTTTGGATGCTCACCTTACTAGACCTGGATGGAGGTGGGTGGTCCTTGGACTTCCCACAGGGCAGGGAACCCTGATTGCTCTTTGGGCTGACGAGGGAGGGGGACTTGATTGGAGGAGGGGAAGGGAAAGGGCAGGCGGCGGTGGGGAAGAGACAGAAATCTTTAATTAATTAATTAATTAATTAAAAAAAGAAAAAGAAAGTGGGGCTGGCCCTCACTCAGAAATGTTAAAAAAAAAAAAAAAGACCACAGCATCACCCAGTAGTGCCAGCCTGGGGGCCAAGCCTTTGACACATAGGTCTTCCGGGAGATAGTTGACATCCCAACTGGAGAGTAGACCTTTGTCTGTGTTTGGTCCTTTTCCTTCCAATAGTTTGCCTACGTCACATGTGTCCTTGCAAGAAAGAGGCACGGGTGGG